AACAAAAAAGTCCTATTTCTGCCTGTCACATTTGGAAAATTAGTTCAGATGAGTGATTTTGCCGATCTGGCTTTGCAGTGCCCAACACTGTCCGTCTCTGAGTGGACTGATCCTATTGAGCGAGTAAAAGAGAGCTTTGTACAGTATAGAGGCAACTCAAAGTCAGATTATGAGGCTAACAGAAGAGCTGATGCAGAAAAATGGAATTACATCTGGGTCCTGACAGAGACGGTTTCCTGCAGGACACTTGGGATCTGTGGTCTCCACTATTTTGGGGAAAGCAACCAGTGTGAGAAATAACGATGACCTACGACCAACAATATCCTTGACAGACAGCAGACAGAGCTGGACAATCATTTCCAGGACAACCAGAATACAAAAAAATGTACGCAGCCGCAACTTTCCTGCCACATTCTAAGAAATTGCATACAAGGAAAAGATTACGATCCTGTCTTCATTAAAGCTGATGGTTTAACAGTATTCATTGAGCACCTGCATTGAAAAGTAATCAGTGAGCTAGAATTTCCATCCCTCATGGAAGTATTGGACATGTGTGCTCCTGATATCGTTCCTGAACTACTGTGAGTCATCATCAGTCTTCCCGTGACTTCTTGTCGTGTTGGGAAACTCATCTTCACTGCATGTGAGATTAAAATGCATGTCAGAGCGACTGGCAGCAGCATGATGTGCAATCATTTAACTTGACCATTAAACAAGCAGCTTCTACTGAAAAATACAGAAGATCCCTGGAAACAAAACTTATTGAATTGAACATATCACCAAGAAAACCTGAACAACAGATGAAGTAATTACCAACCTGATTCAGCTGAGGGATATTTACCATTCTGATCTGAGGAACCATTCGATCTGAGTGGACCAATGACAACCTTCACCGTTCATTCTGAACTCTAACAATTAAACATTGAACTCCTGTAACACTGTTGCAATGCTCAGACAAATGATCTGGTATCTGGCATTTTATATTTTCTTATTTTTGTGTTCCTTGCTGTATTGCTGTAATGTTATGAGCCAAAGACAAATGTCCACCTTCAGGTTACAGAGGCAGACAATAAAAGTTGATCTGTCTGTCTATCGATCCATCAAAACCGCAGTAGGACCAGAGACTGTGTCTTTTTAATTCCACACATCTTTAATTGTCAAAACCTGCCATCTGTATTCTACCCACAGTCAGATATATGGCTGTGATATTCTGGAGCTACAGAGGTCTGGGAAGCTAACTTCCTTCAAAGTCCACATTGTCAGATTTCTTTAACATCTGTTAGATTTCAGATAATCAGTGGAGTTCCTCTCTCAGGCAACATAGCGATTGTTAAACAGCAGGAAAGTTTTAACTGGAAATAGTAATTAGGCTCGTGATTACCACGGCACAATGAAGCTTTTAAAAGCTGGGAGTCTAAATACATGTTTTTAAAAAGGCTATCATAATCTGTCATCCTCTTTGAGGTCGGGATGAAGCGTAAGATAACTTAACAAGATGAAGCTATTTTCAATTAGAGAAGCTTTATCAAAAACTAACCATTAGAATGTACCATGATTCTCCTGGTACTTTAGTCCTGTTGTTAAAAATACATATTCAGGCTGCTAATGAAGCCATTTCCATGTGCAGCAGTGTGTGTGTGTGTGCGTGTGTGTGTGCGTGTGTGTCTGTGTGTGTGTGTGTGTGTGTGCAGAGACAACAGCAGCAGAGATGAAAGCTCATTGATCCCAAAGAGGAGCCACAGCTGCTCTCTGCACAGTCTCGTTATTAATCTGATGCTTTTAAATGCTTCGATCGCAGCCATTCTTCATGATTACTGCTGCTGCTGCCATTTATACACAGATTACAGCAGTGTCGCAGAGCCAGGTAAATATGTAGGTATTACAGCAGCAAGGTGATAAAGCAGAGAGCATGACAGGCAGCGGGCAAAAAAAAAAAATCCAATTTTATCTTCTTTTTTTTTTACTGCACGTTAACCACAGAGAAACGGCTGTTTGTGTTATAATGAACTAATTCAGCCAAGTTGTTGTTTGGGACGAGGAAACATGAGCTTCAACATGATGCTCATTAGAGCTCAGGCATATAATCAATACAGCGATACATCCAGAAGCTCTTTGTTTCTAAAAACACAAACACACAATGTTTTGCTTCTGAAGATTTCTTTCCAAAAACTAAGCACGAAATACATTTTATGTTCTTGACAAAAACATCACATTTTACATGGTATACATTTAGTGAAGCACATGTACTTCGTTGAGGAACCTCCTTTATAAAAACAACAGAGACCCTAACTCTGCTATTGTATTTGTGACCAGGTAGCTGCTCACTGAGTGTTTGCTGTAGTATTAAAATCACATTTAAGGTAACCACAAGTCACCCCCAGTGCTGTGAAATCAAACAGGACAGAAAACTATCTGATGCCAGTATTATCAGTGTTTGCCTTCTTCCTTTCAGACGTTGTTACCCTGAGACACAGTAAGCACAAGAATTTTTGAACCTTCCCAACTGGCAGTATATTCCAGTGACATAACCAACACTCAATGTAAAGGGTAACAATGCATATCTGAGTGATTTTTGAGAGCAAAAAGACCTTTAAGCAGATTTATTCAACCCCAAATGACAATATCATTTAAACCTTTATGACCTCCAACAAACGTTTCCAGAAGTTTCTCTCAAGCTTCTGACTCCTCTTCTAAAGTTTTAGTCTATTCTTTTTGTGCAAAAAATTGAATATTGTTTGGTTTTGATTATTATTATTTTATTTAAACCCACCAATGATTCCCCCCTGGACTTAAATCCATGGACTGAAAGGGTCCTATAAGGATGTCTAGAAATTATTCTCTAAATAAACTTTGGTTGACTTAAATCTATGATTTGTACTATTGTCTCAGCCGGGGAGTCCAGTGATTACCAATCTGTAATTTACACACGGAAGGCCTCACATTCTTCTTAAGAATGAGCTGATACTGCAGTCACGTAGTCAGGTATGCCAGTTCCTGCCTCCCTCATAACACTACAGACTCACCTCCATGCTTGACTGATGGGGTGGAGTTTGTCTTGTCATGTAGCTTCGTTGTTCCACTTTAGTCTTGTTACTCCATAAAACAGTTCTACAGGCTGACACACATGCATTCTAATTCCTATTCAAGTCACGTTTTATGTGCTTTCTGGTAAGGAGTAAAGTGTAGCAAGGTTTCTAGGTATGAAGTCTTGTTTAATTAATGTTGTTTTCATATCTG